AATCTTGCCTGTCACAGGCAGCTTAAATCTATTGAAAGTATCGAATTCCATGAGAGAATATCCAGATGAGCCATCTCCCCAAATGATATAAACAGGTCTGTCAGGATGAACAACCTGTTTAATTATCTTTATTTATTGCTCAAGCTACTAGTACTGACCTTAGCTCCGAGAGCGAACCCGCCACCAACACCCAGAGTTCCGAATGCTCCAGGGTCAAGCCACTGAAGAGGTCCTCGTGGTCTAACAATGTAAGCGGCAGATCCAACAAAATCACCACCATCAGCGACCAAGATAGCATCATCAGGCAATGACTATAAAACAAGATATCAAATTTTTTAAAGTTCAGTGTATCATACCTTATCAAACTCTGCTAAAAACTTCAGAGGGTTCAGACCACCTTTGACTGTTTCATCCATTTTCTTCCTGTTAGCTAATTCTTTGCTATCTTCTTTTTCTCTCAAGAAAGAGATCCAATCCGATGGAACTACATAACCCGACTAAAACACCTTTGTCACAACCGGAAATTATTTTAATTCTCTGGTACCTCCTTGACATCCTTAGCAACCTTCACAAGAACTGTTGCAACATCAGCTTGCACAGAAACATCGGAGTTCCAGAAGGTCTGCTCGTTCTGAACAATAAAGACTGATAACGATATTTAATGACCAAAAATAAACCTTAGTCAATTGACTTTTGTTCCTATTAATTGCAACGATCTTAGATTTCTTGGATAGAACTCTTCCATAAGAGAGACGGAAGTCACAAACCGTTCCTGAAAATTTAGTTTTACTTGCATACTCGATGTTAAGAGTACCTGCTAGAATAGTAAGATCAGCTTCTTTCAGAGCATCTCTACGATTTTGTCTCATTTGAATAGGGCTATCCTTTCCGAGAAGACCTCGAGCCATACCACCAAGATAAACAGGGATTCCAAGAGCCTATAAGAAGAAATTGTCTAAGAAACTTCTGAAATGTTAACTTACTTGAACGGCTTTTACCAACTCATCGGGTTTGACAGGTGGGAGAGTAGCTTGACTACCAATGAGAAGTACAGGTTTCTTTGCATTTTTCACAAGTTGAGCAATTTCGTTAATTTGAGGTGATTGGGGAAGAGGGATTGAACTAGGGATGGGAGTGATATCTTGTGGGTCCCAAGCTGAGCCGAATTGTCTCGAAACGTGGAAACGGAGATAATGATTAACGGCTTTCTTAACACGGAAAACTTCAAGAGCAAAATTAACTAGTATACCTGAACAAAGCCTCTAGCATTGGGGTTGAGGCCAACCTCCTTCATAACAAGATCGTAGGGGTACAAAACATCAACTGGAAACTCGACAAAAACAGGACCTGGGCAGCCAGAAGTTGCCGCCTTGAATCATGATAATACCCTACATCGAATGATCACACACCTGGATAGCTTGTCTCATAATTGGAACGATGTCTCTTAAACGTTCAACTCTTGCAGCATATTTACAGAGAGGGCGGAAAAGAACCATCTGATCGATATCTTGGAGAGCTCCTCTACCCTTCAAAAGAGTTGGAGCAGCTCCACCGATCAGAAGCAATGGGCTTTCGGCCATTTGAGCGTTCTTCACAGCTGTGATAGTATTGGTGAGACCTGGGCCGGCAGTAACGGCAGCCACACCGATAGATTGTCTCAATCGGGCTACAGCATCAGCAGCAAAAACGGCGGTTACCTGAAGATGTTTATAAGATATGTACCCTTACAATAAACAACCTCATGACGAGTATCAATAATGTTAATTCCTAGCTTTTCAGAGGCGACGAGAATGGGGGAGATATGACCTCCACATAAAACAAAAATTTCTTTCACATCGTGAGCCTGAAACTCGAACCATAATTCAATCAGTGGCATAATGACAAGCCTTGAGTACAGAAGCAACTAATTCTCCTCCGTGTTGCTTGGTTTTTTCGTCCACCTGAAAGGATTTCAATGATAAAGGGTTCATACTCTTGTTCACTCACTCTGAAGATGTTTGATAGAATATGTTGCCCATTCCCACTGAGCACTAAACTAATCAACTTCTGTAACTCTTCTCCAGATCTGATGTCCAGGAGCTTCCATAATAACAATAATGTAACAGCTCCGACAAACAGAAGAAGCAACATTTCTGCCTGAAATGAGCCCAAAATAACAAAATCAAAAACTGTATAAATCAAAATGACAAGATAGCAACAACAGAATACGATAAGGAAACGTAGTATAGTTTGAAGAATGTCATATCAGAATGCCATAAAAAAGATTTCGAACAACACTAGCGTGGCAAAATCTCAGAAACGAAATATTCGCTCCGCAGAGTCGTTGAAGAATACTATACAATCTTGAATAAAATCTGTAGTTGCAGACAACTTTATGTGACCTCTTTCGCTATATATAAAAAACATTCAAATAGAAAACGATAGGAAACTCTAACAACCTATTACAATCGCTTTCACGAATTCTGAACAGACACGGGAAAGGCGATAATTAAATGTAGCGACTTGGTATACATCAATGAGGCAAACACGAAACAGAAAATTCAGAACATCGCAATTTGAAATTCAGAAAGGATAATGAACACGAAGGAATAATTAATTGTTGGAATTGATTGAAGAGCCTGCCCCAATTCGAAGACCGAAGTCCAGGATGATAAGGTTGAGATAAGAACGAATTTCGGAAATTTATCTGAACCACGCCATGCTGTGACATGAAATAACATACGTGCAATAAAGCTTGTAACACAACACAAATCTGCAGGGAAAACATAAACAAATTCAATGCTTGGATAATACAAAGGATGTGCTTTACTGGATTACTAACTTACCTATTAGGAATGCAACCGTTCGATGAGAGTCCAAAATTGGAAGGAAAGAGTATTAGAAGTATCTGATCTTTGAAAATGGAAATGAAAAACAGGTTCAGACTACAATTGATTTCGATGTGAAAGCATTTCACAATACAACAACTTAAAAAACGATGTTGAAATGCAAATAAGAAATGCTTTTTCAAATTGGCATTAGAGCACAACCCTGGCTGTTGGGTCAGGTCGTTGGAGCCATATATGTAACAGCGCATGTAAGATCAAGTATGCAACACCTATTATATCACATACGAACAATGATAGTGTCAGAACTTTCGAAAGATAACTTTCACAAGAACATACCCTTTGACCTTCATATTTGATCAAAAATTCTTTGTACATGACAAGATACGACTTGGGGGTCGAAGTCCGATCTGATCTATGAGAGTTTATATTATTTCCAAAATAATTCGATATATGATTGATGCAGCTAAAGAAGAGTTTAGCTATTATGAAGTCGAACAAAATCCATGCAATTTTCAAAGAAATGAAAAGAATATTTACAAAAACATATTTTTAAAAAATTGATATATAAAGGGGTCCGATACTTTTTCTGACATGAAAGAGCTTCATCATGAAGTTTTGGGCTATAGCTTTCATTACGGTAGCTGTTGTCTTTGCTAATGATGAGGGTGAGGATGAGGATCAAGCAGTTCTGAAGAAGGTGACCATTCGTTATCATCACGTATGAGCAGCCTTCTTTATGCATCATTTCAGGCCGAAGAAATTCTTCTCACCCATAATGAAGGACCGGATAAAAATTGGATTCGCGAAGTTCCAAATTAAATATATTTCTTTTTATTTTAATTTTTTTAGCAACGAGAAGCTATGGCTTCCCTTACTCTTCGTCGCTCCAAATTTAGTCGTGCCGAAAAGCCCGAAAATCCAGAACTAGAAGCTAAACTTGTAGCAAGATGTTTTGCTTATTCATCTTTGATTTTTAATTTCCAGGCAGAATACCGTAACTCGGTTGGTCCAAAAAGCAATATAACATCTGAAGAGGAAGGAGATGAAAGGCCTGTGTCACCTGATGCTACCGAAGAGCTTTCTGGAATTGCTATTGAAGGAGATATGATATTATCATCTGGTCAAATAGATAACTTACTTAATCCGGGAGGAAATGGTAATAGTATTAATATAAACTGATTTCGTATATTTATATTTCATAGAACGAAGAAAGCGATCCGCTACCACGGATCCGAAAGCATACTGGAGTCCTGATGAAAGCATTCCATTCTTTGTTGAAAGCGGATTAAGTAAGCAAAACACCGAGGGAACAAACCCTATTATAATCCCATTAATTGAAGATCGAACACGTATCCTTCAAGCCGTTAAGTTCTGGCAAGATAATACATGCTTGAATTTTGTTGAAAGCCGTACAGCTGGATCGAACCGTCTTCGATTCTTCCGTGGAAGCGGATGCTGGTCTTACGTAGGAAAGCAAGCATTCGGAAGTCAAGATATCTCCATTGGTCAAGGATGTGACTCCGTAAGATAATTAGGCAAATTTTCTTTGAAAGAGCTAATACATTCTGGGATATATAAAATCTATTTCAAGATTGGAACGATTTGCCACGAAATGGCTCACTCTCTTGGATTCTACCATACGCAATCGAGGTAGTCTCAAAAGGCTTGTACTTAAATGGAAATTTGAACTAATTGAAGATACGATCGTGATGACTACCTTGACATTAACTTCGGTAACATCCAATCAAGTCTACAGTATAACTTCGACAAGTTGACATCCCAAGCTGAAACTCATTTTGGAATGCCATATGATTATGGTAGCGTGATGCAGTATAATCCATGTAACGAGAAATAGAAAAAAATGTATCCAATTAAGCATTTTAGATGCTTTTGCTCTTGATTCAAATGTTCCAACTTCATTAGCCAAAGATCCCAATTACCAAAATATGATGGGACAACGTGAATCACCTGCTTTCTCTGACGTTAAACAGATGAACTTGGTATATAAATGTGCAGGTACAGACCAACGTTGTAATAATATCAGAGAACAAAAACATTTTCTTCAGCTCGTTGCCCATCAACTATTCGTTGTTCCAATGGTGGAATAATCAACCCTAACGATTGTACCAAGTGTATTTGCCCCAAGTATTTCAGTGGAGATACTTGTGACTTTTTGGGTAAAGCGACAGCTCCCGTCTGTAATGGACAACTTATTCAAGTAATTTGCTTATCTGCCAAACTTGGTTGGATAACCACATAATTGTTTTCATTTCAGGCCACAAACCGAAGTTTCACAACCTTCAAAGCTCAAACTGGACTTGGAATAACCTATCAATATACTGATGCCGTCGAATGCTTCTATTCTATTATGGTCAGATAATGAGGGATCATTCCCACTTGTACATACACATCGTTCTATTTCAGTCTCCTCCTGGTACTAGAATTCAAATACAAATCAGAAACCTTGACGCAAGCTGCATGGAATCATGCCCATGGGCTGGATTTGAAATTAATATGGGAACACCTGATTTAGCAGGAATGTTGTAAGAAGAACACTTTTTAATTGTTAAAATAATGCTTTTAATTCATAGGGTATGCTGTCCCGAAGCTTACAAGAGGGCATACACTTCCGTCTCAAATCAAATTTTAATTCGAGGAGTTTCGAAATATAATAATGTAGCCATGGATATCTCGTACAGAGTGGTTTGAACAAATAACTCAATGATTTATTCAATTTAATGTATTTGCAAAAATAAAACTTTTCGTTTTTGTTTTTCTTCTTGTTTGGTTCTCAAAGTGGCTTTGTAGTATCGGAGTGATGGCCGTGTGATCCACCTGTGCCAGTGATTCTGCGGCTTTTCGCTGCCTGCAAACAAAATTCATTTTTTTGATTATCTGGAAATGAACTACCTTCAAGCGGAGCAAACGCAGAACTCCATTACGAATTGTTCGGTTCATCACGAGATATATAACGGCTGGACAACCATGACCAAACTGCCAACCCATATGACCAAGAGCTATGAAGAAGTCAGGGACAGGGATAAACTGCATGACAACGTATATGACAGAAGCAAAGAAGTTGACCAGACAGATTAGTGTTGATTGAATAAAAATCTTGAAAATAGTACTCGCTTATTAGTTCTGTTGAACTAATTGTTATTACTTGATTGTGAAGTTTACGTTGTCCCGTTGATTCCGTAAAGGTTTGTCGAAGACGTCGTCCTACTGCCACACAGAAAACACCATACAATACACAAGTGAATCCTACTAGGAAGAGATTATTGGCAGAATGCAGAGGATTTTGATACTAAAAATTATCAGAAAACATGAATACTTCAGTTGAATATGGTATTTCTTACTTCCAAACTTCTGTCGGGGAAGATGAAAGGATCGAAGAACCATGCCACATATTTAGATGCGAACACGACGGGTGGAGTGAAGAAGAAAAAGTAGCCTCCGTAGATAAAACATAGCAGCAAGATGAAGTAAGTCCTCCAACCATGGAAAATGTAGTCGGAATAGGTTTTTCTGAGAAGTTTCTCGTAGTTTCAAGACAATAAGGATATCATACGAGTATTCCAGCATGTCCATCAGGCGGTTTACGACGAGTAGAAGACAGATCAGACAAGCAGTACACCATAGACCTTAAGAAACATATGTGTTATTCGTTTCTGTTCTCAATTTACCCAATCCAAAGCTTCCGGATATGAATATGAAATTTGGATACGTACAGAATACAGCTCCTTCTACCAGTAGCCATCCTTAATCAGAAGATTCACAGTTTCTTCAGGCTGAGGTTTCAATTACCAGTTATGATCGAGTTGACACCGATTGCAGCCATGTCAACTATGCCAAGGAAAAACATGATTTTGAAGCAAGAATGAGCAAAATATTCTTTAGAAGCGATCACAATCAGGCAAGGGATGTATAATATCTATAGATAGAAATTCATGAATGTTTCGGAAATTTTTGGGATAAAACCTCAATGATGATACCGTAAGCGAGGTCGAGAGAGCCCCAAATAGGTTTTTTTACTCCGTGCTGAAGAGACCATTCAGCTGATGTTAGAGCGCTGAAAATCGAAATAGAAAGTTTGAAATCTAGAAGTACGAATACCTGCAATTATACAGAGGAACACTTTCAATTCCCCCATTAGCTATGAGCCACTCCATGTCAGAGAGACAAAAAGCACAATCTCACGGAGGAGTTTCTTGTAGTTGGTAAGAGAAGAATGTTTAAGAGAACGGAGAGAAAAAAGAAATTATTTATACCATATAAGGAGGCGGATCACAGATTAACATAACATTTTGAAATGAAACATAAAAATGAAAGAGAAAGAGATTTTGATATTCGCGGGAATGAAGCTGATGAAGTCAAAAGATTATCACTGTGGTCTATTAGTGTAGAAAACATCCATCCGATTTCTTAATAGTTTGAAAGCAGTTTTGTTCTATTTTCATTGATAAGTTTGAAATGGAAAGGTTACTCTAGCACTTGCCTTTCCATTTCATTTTTTAAAACAATAGAAGAGTTTCCAGGTAAACGCAAGGACGAACAGCTTGTGCTGAGCTTCTAACGAATTGTCGTGGCTGGCAAATGCCGTCAGCCAAACAACAAGTTTTGTTCTTCTTGAGCCTTCTTTGATATCTCTTGAATAGAAAGTTCAACAATTTCCATTTGCCATTATTTCAATTTCGTACCTTATCCATACGAACATCTCTATGACTACATCGACAGTCAAACTTTCCATACACTTGGAGCAAAAATAGCTTCATCACGCATGAAGTAGGAGAGAGATTATAGCGGTTTACGTTTCTCTCTGGTATTTTTGGAATACGAAAGGTTGAATACACCGAAAAAGCTTCGTATATCGCAATCGCTGCTGCATCCATTGCATCTTCTCTTTTAACTTCACCAAAAAAAACAAAGATGAAATCTGTTCTCTCCACTTCATTCAATGCGTGAAGCGACTCGTGACTCCGTAAATGAGTTGATGGTTAAGAAACTGAGTTTGATAGCTTCCTCTCTCTACTCCTGGAAGAGATGAGATGTATTTATTTTCAATAATAGAAAATGTGCACTTTGCAGGTATTGAGGAGCTATCCCATGAACTCCAATGATTCACCGTTGTTCTTATATTGTTCAAATGGAAATGAAAGAATTTGTTAAATATTTATGTTTTCCACTATCGTCGCTCATCAACGGCTTGAGAAGAGAAACGTTTACGATCAAAGTTTAATCAAAGAATATATGATTATGGAAGGGTCGAATGAGAAATATTCAAAGAGATTATTCATGAGAGATCTTTCAATGTCGCGAAGAATCAGACTGAGGAGCGGTCTGCATTCGGCCACATGAAGCTGTAGGGTTTGTGTTTATTCTGGCTCCAAATCGCTATAGAGTAAATGAATGATAGTGTCATTAATAGAGGTTCACTCACCTTCAGACGTAGCAAACGTAAAACTCCGTTACGGATTGTTCGATTCATTGCCAAGTAAATGATGGCAGGACATCCATGCCCAGCTTGCCAGCTAACATGTCCGACAATGATATAAAAGGGATGAACAGGAACAAATTGCATAACCACATAAATGACGGATGCAAACAAGTTAACCATACATATGACGGTTGATTGAAGGAAAATCTGAAATCGTGGGTGAACAAGGATTATTACGTGTGGGAATAAATAAAGATGAGGAAAGGAAAGCTAGAATGAAGTGAAATGATGGGAAAACCTGGTTGTGAATACGTCTATGACTATTCGAGTCAGTCAACGCTTCGTGGAAACGTCGTCCCAGAGCAAAACAGAATGCTGCATAAAGAAAACATGTAAACCCAACAATGAAAACATTATTGGCTGAGTGAAGATAGTTTTGATACTGGAAGAAGAATAAGATAATCAAAATTGTTTTGTTTATCTAATTACCTCTAACGTTCTGTTGGGGAAGATGAAGGCATCGAAGAACCAAGCTCCATAATTGGAAGCAAAAAGAAGTGGGGGCGTGAAGAGCGTAAAGTAAAGGCCATACAGAAATGCCAAGAGTAGAATGATGTTTGTACGTTGTCCATCAAACACAGCGTCAACAAGCTCTTTCCTACAGAATAGTAAAAAGTTAATTGAAACGTGGAAAGTTTTACTTGTACTTTAATATATCCATCAGACGATTGATTACAAGTACAAGACAAATCATACATGCCATGCACCATAAGCCTTGAATGATCGATAAGTATAAGAAAAATCCTGATATGATCTATTCTAATTACCTAATCCGAAGGCTCCAGATACATAGATGAATTCTGGATGTGAACAGAAGACTGCTCCTTCAATCAGAAGAACACCTGTAAATACAAAAATTTCATCTTCTCCTATGGTACAAGTACGTCAGAGAGGTAAGAAGCTCTGATAACCGGAAGTAAAAAAAGATGAAAAGGATTTTTAATTTATTATCAAAATCTCAAAGATAAATCTTTGTTTTTAATAATCTGGATCTCCATTTGCAGTTAGTACGAGGTGTAGGAGGAAGCAGAAAGAGTGAAAGGATTTACCTGAGATGATAGAATTGACACAAATAGCCATCATATCAATTACACCAAGGAAAAACATAATTTTGAAGCAGGAATGTGAGAAGAACTCTTTCGATCGTATAACGATCAGACATGGAATGTATAGTAACTGTAATGAAACACATAGTTACAGAAGGAAATTATATAGTATTGTAATACTTCAATGATAATCCCATAAACAAGTGATATAGCACCCCATCCAGGATGCTTAACACCATCTTTCAATGTCCATTCTTCTGGAGTCATTTGACTTAAATATTAAAATAAAAACAATAATGAAATGTAAAATAATTGCCTGCAGTTGTATAACTCCATGTTTTGGGATCCTCTGTGAGCAACAAACCATTCCATTACGGAACTAAAAGTAAAATAGTATTAAGCTATAGATACAACAGGCTTGTATTTAAATCTTTAATGATATATAATACAATTATGAAACTTTCTTTCGTCAGCTCACATTCAACTCTTTCACTCAGCAGATCATTCTCTCTCACTTCTATACATATTACTCTATCTCTCTCTCTCTTTCTCTCTCTCTCTCTTTCTCTCTCAGTTCATGTGACTCTCTCATCTCTCATAAACAGTACTCTTTAAAAGTTGGAAAGAAACAAAAAATCAAATTGGCTACGAATAAAAATTTTATTTCTTTGGAATAGATAAAGAAAAAGAAAAAGAAAAAAAGAAAAAAACGGATTTTCTTCCACCTTCGAAGGGCGTGAAGCTCGTGCAATGAGACTGGCTGTCTAGACTGGCAAAAGATGCTTTATATAGAAGTTATTCAAATCTACTTGACTAAACATCATCTTTTGTTCTAAAATGTCAAATACAGTCTTATATAAATCTTTCTTTATTTTCAAGTAGAATTAGATTAAGTTATTATTGTAATACAAAAATCTATATCAACATCAGGTTGGATGGCGCACATCGCGCCAACATGATCTTCGACGACTCAAACTGAACCCGAGTATAACAAGATGTAGGCTGCCATTGAACACGACTACAATATACTCATGATATGTGGTGATAGAGCGGAAGGTAGATACACTACTACTATGTCCCAGTTTAATTATTTTAATATGTATTTGATGAGGGACTGCTCTCAATGCTCAATATCACATGAGCTAGATGCCTGAACATGTCATCTCGGCAGTTTTCATTCAGTTACAGATGATGAACACAGACGCACATGTGTACATACAAATACGGCATTCTTTCAGATAGATAAATGAATACACACATCACGCTAAGCTTCAGATGACAAAAACTGCCATGTGATTAGGTGTTAATGTCCATTTCTGTTTATAAAATCTTTTGTTCGTTCCTCAGCTTTGTCCGTTCTCATTGAATGTGCCATTAGATTTTCATATGAAAGAGACAGATTATAATATCTTTCCTTAGTTTTATGACAAATAAATGATTTTGATCTACGAATAATTCAAAAGAAGATTAACATTCATAAATTTATTATTATGAAAACATGAAAGACTGACGTAGAGACTATCAAAGCTTCGTTCCGCTAACTATATGAAACAATAGAGCAATCAAGGACTCCCGTCTTACACTTCAACGTCTTTAAATCAAACGCGAAAAAGAATCGTTCACGAACTTACCTTCTCATTCACACACACACAGACACACGTATAGTCAACCGCTCATCAGCGTCATTTCTCATATAAAATAATAATGTTTGATGCATTAATCCGAGAGAGCTTGGCGTCATTACGTGAACATCACTCATTAGCATATTCTCAGAAAGGTTCATGTGCGATAGCTTTCTTCCCTGAAACTTCGTCATAGAACAATGAGAAAAAGTAATAATATGACGAACCAAAAAATGAGAGAGATGAATGTTTGAAGATATTTGAAAGCAAAAAAAAACAAGTTTCCTGTCCTAATTTGGTGATTGGCTTTAAGGGATAAGCTGGTGATGAACTAAAGACAAACATTAGGAAAAACGAAAAAAAAGAAGAAGGTTGACGTTGAATGAAAGCCAAAGTTCATATTGTCCATGAAGTTTTATTTGACATGATGAAGAGGAGATGAAATGACCAGTTGCATGTCCGTACAAGCAAATACAAAAAGAAAATCTTGAAAAAATGTGCCCTGAGGGTAAATTTCCAGATTTGAAAAGGACTTTTATACATCATTCTAAATACACATCGAGTGAGAGAATAGTAATAGACTGATACTGAAGAGAGAGAACGCAAAAGAAGCTAAGAAATAGAAAGAGAGAGAGAGAGAGAAAGGACTATCAAGTATGGAAACAACTAAATTTAGAAATTGTGAATCATACAAGAAAAAAAAACAGTTCTTCTCTTCCCAATCTCCCTTCAGTGCTCATTCTTCTGTACTATCATCTCGTCTTCTTACCTCACCTAACTATGAGTCTCTCTTGTTCACTTCATTACAGAAAATCATATAGTTACAACTAACTATATGATATTTGATTCAAATCTAAATATAATATAATATTTCATAAAGTATGACGAAAGAATTCTTTTGTTTGTGTCATTTCATCTCTTCAATTCCTTCTGTTCCGTTGACTCCCTCCTAACCGTCCCTTTTCATACACCACAAATTCCATACAACCTTCTATTTTATTTGCGAAAGCACCAGCTTTTCGTCTTCGTTCATCATGCTGACCATCCGTTGCTCATCACTGAGCACACGTTCACAAAATTTTAATTTTCAATTTTCATTTATATAATTGATAATAGCGAAAAAAAGAAATTTACTTAACTACGTGTCCCTTGATAATTGAGAGCATCAAAGAAACAGAAAATAAAACCAAAATGAAGAAGCTTCTCAGCTTATTGGGAGATAGAGGGGGGTCCATCATCGGATTCTGCAGACGATAGGTATTGTGGTGCAATTCTGTTGATGGTATTTTTTTTCTTGTGTTCGACATGTTTGGTGAGAGGAAAGTTGATAAAAATGAAAATTTGCATAAAAGATCGGAACATCGTTTTGAGTCGAGGGATTGGAGGGAGTAGTCCATTCACTCCCGCAGTAGACAGTCTTTTCGAACAATGTTGACTCTTTAATCCACTTGACACCTCCCTTGTTGCTTCTCTTTTTCTCTGTCACCCTCAATTTCTCTCAATTTCTTTTGTATTATTTTTTTCTCTTACTCTCTGACCGTCCACTTTCATCACCATCACCTTCATCATCACCATCTTCTTCTTCTTCTTCTTCTTCATCTTCAGATGCTTCATCATCTTCATTCCCTCACCTCATCACCACCCCCTTTTTCCTTTGACTCCATAAACTCATTCCAGACCGTTTCATTCGTTGGCTCATTCGCCTCTCTCGCCAACCCCATTCTTTCATCATCTCTTCTCTCCATATTCGGTGTCCAGTTGAACGTCTTCGCCCTATGCTCATCAGTTGCTCCTAAATATATTAAATTTGTATGAAATTTCAAAAACCATCAATTGATTGAATACATTATTTATATTTAAGTACTATTGGAAATGATATCTACACAATTGTTTTATTTATTTTTATTTATAAAAATATCTTTGATCATCGCCCATGGTGTCGTTCCAGTTCCAAGTGAAACGGCGTTGAGCGCCAAACACAAATTTGATGGTTAGCTTACAACTTGTACTCATGTCAACTCTCCTTTCTTAACAGATTATTCTGAAAGGTTCTTATTACCCGAAGATTTTATTTTTGCATCGCAAAAGCCAGGTACATCATTAGTTTCATGAGCTTCATCACACACAACTTCCTTTTTTAGTTCAAAAGCCAACCGATGCTGAAATCGAGTCAATGCAGAATTCATTGTTATTCGAAGGTGACATTATTGGAATTCCAAGTGATGAAAGTGAAATCATAAATCGTCGAATGAGGGATTCTCCATTGCTTCAAGACGATGAAGAAGCCATTTTCAGTCGTCCAGTAACGATTCAACTGTTTGAGCTACGCACGCCTAATCTCTTTTCAGTACCACAGTTCATTGAATTTGGTAACCTATCCGGATAAGCTATGGACTGACGGAATCGTTCCATACATGTTAGAAGAGGGAATGACAACAGAGTAAGTACTAAGCTTCATTGTAAGGATTAAGCTTCTTCTCCTTTTTTTTTTTACAAAAAAAAAACTTCACGCTTGTCTTCCAATTTTGACCGTGGAAGGACAAGCACTTGGAACATGACTTTGTCTCTCTCTCTCTCTCACTCACCTTTGAAAAATTTTTGCATTATCTTCTCAATCGTCTTCTTCTGCTACTCATATATTTGTCTCTAATCTCCAACAAAGAAAACAAACAAAAAACAAGCCTCGATATGTCAACAACTCCAAAGAGGACCAAAGACTCGGACAGATTGCTTTAGCGAACAAATTGTTCAAACGAGTGATTCAAACACCGAAAATACCTTCTGGAGTTGAGCTTTTGACTGAAAGTAATCAATGTAAATCAACAAACAATCCGCCTTCATCCTCCTATTCTTTGTTTTTTTTTTTGCTTTCTGCTTTTGAAGCTTAAAAGAACTCAACATCACTTGGATATTTCTCGTCTCCGTCACCATGATGTTGCATTTGACGACGAACAAAAGGCACAAAATGTGTTTTTTTGAGAAGCAAAAACGAAAAAAACGAACTCTTTACAATAGAACGTTCACTCTCTCTCTCCCTCAATGCGTTCGGCTCAAAAACCTTTTTTTTTCATCTCAAAATCGACGTTGCACCTTTGTTTCAATTTCTATATTTTTCACGTCTCGAGTGTGTGATTGAAGAATACCGTCAAGCTGATTATTTTGGAAAAAATGATAAAAAAAAGATTCAAGAATGAAATAATAAGAGAGAGAGAGGAGAGAGAGAAATAAGAAACATGCAAAGAAAGAGATAGAAAGAGAGATAGATGAGAAGATGTGTTAACAGCGTCAAAACGATGGAGACTTGCGTCAGCTTATCGAAAATTCATCTGAAACGTCGTTCATACAGTTCTACTTCGTGTTTAAACTGTCTCTTTTTCGCACTCGTCCGTCGTCGGGATCAACAATGATTTCTTAAGGCTTTTCTTCATCGAACTTTCAATTGTCCTTTTTTGTCTTTTTTTTTCTTCTTTAATCTCTCTTTCTCTTCCTTTTGACCATTTGAGGTGTTATATAAAACGAAGCAAAAAAGTCAATTAATAAATCACGTAAGACAAACAATTAATTTTTTTTTTATTTTTTCAGTCAACGAGCTGCTATTGCTCAAGCATTCGATGAGTATAAGGAGAAGACGTGCATCCGATTTGTTCCAAGGACTGAAGATGATTTCGATTATATTTACATCAAGCGCAATGTTGCTTTCGGGTTTGTTTTTCGTTTATTCTTATCCCTCATTACACCTATCATCATCATAAGCTTACCATCCCACACACAATGTCACTATAAGTTTACATATCTTCCCGCCCTCATTCATTCTATACTATTATTTGAGATAAGAATCTTTATTGCTTGACAATGATTGTATGTTGTCAATTGCGCACAAATTACTTGCGGAAAGTTCCATCTTCGAAGAAAATTCCTCCGTCGATGGCACAGTATTTGGGGCAGATTCCTCTCTCTCCTGGGGAGGCATCGCGTCCTGGAGATCCTGGGAAGGCATCGCGTCCTTGACGTCCTGGCTCTCCTGGTCTTCCGAGTGGTCCCTTTGGTCCTGGGGATCCTAGAAATATTTTAATGTTTGTATTAGCCATGAATTTTTTTTTTACCTGGTTGTCCGTCCTTTCCTGGGGCTCCAGCTGGTCCAGATGGTCCTTGCTCTCCTGGTGCTCCTGGTCTTCCTGGTGGTCCTCCTTGGAAGCGGCTGTTGCGTCCTGGGGCTCCTGGAGCTCCTGGTTGTCCGTCCTTTCCTGGGTGTCCAGCGGATCCTGGAGCTCCGCGGGCTCCGTCTTCTCCTGGGTGTCCATCAGATCCCTTGTTTCCTGGTCTTCCATCTCTTCCTGGAAGTCCGGATGGTCCTTGTGGTCCTGGGGATCCTGGAGCTCCTCCTGGGCATGGCTTGCATGGTGGTGGGGTAACTGGCTCAGTTGGTCTGACAACTCCGTCACGTCCTGGGTTTCCTGGAGATCCTGGAGATCCGTTGGATCCTGGCTTTCCTGGTCTTCCTGGAACTCCCTTTGGTCCAGCTGGTCCTGGAAGGCAACATCCGTTGCAAGAGTCGTTTGGTCCTCCGTACTCGGAAGCTTCTGGTTGATAAGCGTTCTTGTTGTTGTTGTTGTTGTTTTGTCCGTAAGATCCATAGTAGTTGTTGTTGTTGTTGTTATTGTAATCATCATAGTATCCAGAAGAACGGGCGGTACGGTTGAGCTTGGCTAAAGCAACGACGTTGGTTGAGATGGAGAAGACTTGTCCCTGAAATATTAGTTGTACAATCATTTTATACTTATAATAATAAGTACTTGGCATTGACGGAAGTCCACAACAGCTTGATGACGAATGTTAGAAGCCTGCTGGTAAGCCAATGGGACAGTTACCAGAATGGAAAGAACTGCTCCAAGAGAGAAGGCAGCAGCAGTGTAGCCGACAAGACGATACGCTGTGATTTTGCGATCAACCTCCTCCATTCTCTGAAAGATCATGAAATTATAAAAAAATAGATGAACAAGTGATCGTAAGGAGAAGAAACTGAAGTAGTAGAAGAAGGAAGTAAAGAGAATACTATGATGCCATTTGAAGAAAATGCAATGCCCTTATATAGTGTTATCGTTTTTCGGTTCCAACTCTTTTTTTCTCGAGGGTTTGATCAGCAAACGGGAACGAAATCATTAAAGTTGTCCATCATCTCTAATTACTTATACTTTAAAATGCTTTTTCTAACATTCTCATACCCCTTGACCGAAACTTTGATTTGAAAATGATTTTTGTCTTTTTTCCTTTTTCAAAAAACATTTTCTTCAAATCGAATGAATTGCTTGATGAAAGTAAATTTTTATAAAAGCGTCTCACTTAAATTCTCAATTCATTTCCTTTTGCACAAAAAAAACCAAAAACTAATTTACGATCATCATTTCAACAAGTTCATCATCATCATCAACATCATCATCATCCTATCTTGAAACTCATTATCATGTGTTTTCTCATTTGCTTTTTGCAGTTGCTCTTCATATGTTGGACGGGCTGGTGGTAATCAGACTGTATCGTTAGAGATTGACAAATGCTTCTCGAAGGTATTGGTTGACAGTTCACAGCTTCTGTTACACTGTTGAAACAACATTACAGGGAATTATTGCTCACGAGCTGATGCATGCTCTTGGCTTCTTCCATGAACATTCACGAACAGACAGAGACGAATTCGTTGACATCAAGGAAGATAACATTCGACCAGGTACTCAAGAAAGATGAAATGGATCTATCAAATCATCCGAATTTTAGGAATGATGAGAAACTTTGAGAAATATCCAAAGAAGATTATTGATCCATTAGGAATGCCTTATGATTATGAGTCTGTGATGCATTACCATAAATTAGCTTTTTCCCGAAATGGAAAACCAACGATCGTTCCAAAAGATGACGGTGCTGAAGTTGGACAACGTTATCGTTTAAGTGAAACGGATTCTCGTAAAGTTTGTTTCAAAGTTCATTTTGATAGTTTCATAGTTATGTTATAGGTTAACAAACTTTATCAATGTGGGGAATTTTCGAAAACAACAACCACAACAACAACAACAACTACCACTACTACACCTTCAACAACTACTTCAGAGGTTTAGCCAGCTCTTTCATAATGATACATATAAGCTTATTACTTTCTTTTTACAGATTGATGAAGAAACTACGACACGTAGACGATTGACTACAAAAACAACAACAACACGTCGTCCAACAACTCCGATCAGAAGATTCAGAAGTAACAAAGAGATCCGAATATTATTAAAATGGCAACATTTCTATTCAGAATGTGAAGATTTGAATGCTCATTGTGGAATGTGGGAACAGCTTGGTCATTGTCAACATTCAAAGAAGTATATGGCACATTACTGTCGCAAATCCTGTAATATGTGTGACGAAGGTAATACTTGAAAAAATCTGAAAATAGGATTAGGCCGGGTGTGAATCTAAGACTTGCAGTAGAGGGAGACAGAAAGAATGAGAGAGAATAGAATGAATGCAACTGATCTAAGCAAATGATATGAGCAAGCAACCGTTCATTATGTCTTTTGAGCACAAAAATGATTTCAATCGTTAAGCTCACGTCATTTTGACGTGACGTGTATGCTAAGAATAGCTGACCATAGTACACGTCAATACTTACGTGATTCACGTGAAAACGATTTTAAGCAGTAATTCAATTTAATTTTTTTTTCTTTTTTTTCAGATAGTGGAAGTAGCACGACATCAACGAAGAAACCTGAAAAGGTAACAGTTCCACCTAAAAAGGAAAAAGGAAGAGAAAAGGTTGATCGAAAAGAAAAAGGCGGCAAAAAAGAAGAAAAAGAAAGTAAATGTGAGGACAAAAATCTGTTCTGTGGATATTGGGCTAAGATAGGAGAATGTAAGAGTGAAAGTAAATTCATGAAGATCTTCTGTAAAGCCTCATGTAACCGTTGTTAAGAGCTAAATTGAGATCATATAGCTCTTTTCCACTCTTTTTCTTTCTCTTTTACTGTTTATCTGTGCATTAGACACATGCAGCCTACATAGCATACAGTCTTTCAAACCGTCTTTCCTTATTTGTCTTTCTTTCTGAGAATTTTGACTCTTTCGGGTTTATTTTTTTGTTTTTTTTTTCATATTTTATTTTTGTCTTTCATTATGCATCTGATTCTTAGAAAATAATTTTTATTAGTTTTCAATTTTTTTTGCTTTCAAATGTGTTTCTTGTGTCTCGTAGCGACTGTGTCGCCGGTGTTGTCCAATGATGAGAAAAGAAGAAAAAAAAAGTATTTTTATTTTATTAAAAATATATAAAAATAAATATTTTAATTTATGCGTATTGAATACATGATGGGCATACTCGAAATATCCAAAAAGCAATACGGGAAGTTCTGTATGCGAACCGGATAACAACTAATTGCATGTATCTAGTAGTTAAAAAGAGAATTATATGTTCCTAATCTCTAACCTGTCCATAACTATACTAACTATATATCTTATCCGCAAACATATTACTTGTTTGATGAATGATCATAATGATGATAAGAAAGAAATTCAAAAGTTCATTTAAAGGTATTGAAGAGATGATGATGATGTTGATGATGATAAGGCTTAAGGCCAGGAGAAGAGATTTCTCGTTTTCTCCATAATTTCACAAATCAAAATGTGTTTCTGAGAAAAAGTGAAAATAGAAATCAATGATGAAGTCTCAAACTGTCATTTTGGTCATTTCATCTCTCATTTTGAGTCTTTTTTCATCTCATCCTACAAGCTTTATTATATATACTCTGAGACAGACACTATAGTGTGAATATGATAGAGAGAGAGAGAGAAGGAGACACACAGAGGGAGACAGAACGAGAATCTTCCTTAAAGAGACTAAGAGAGAGAGAAAGAGAGAGGGAGGGAGAAACTATCTTCTCTTCTTGTATATAAAATTCCCGTTTTTCAACTGGATCATCTTCTTTAATCATCCTTTTCTTCAAATCTTCTCCTTTCAACTGGCTTATCTGACCCCGATACTCTTCTTTTTTACCTGTTTTTCCTCATTATATTTAAATTACAATATAACAAAGAAACTCTTTGAACCAGTTGAATGAAGGATATCAAGCAAAGCTTCAAACTCTCGTTCATTCCATCTCCCTCTCTCTCTCTGTTTAGCTCTGTTTATTTCATCCCCCCTCCTTCTCTCTCTCTCTCCTTCTGTCCTTTCCTTTGTCAACTTCATTTTGTTTTCATTCTCTAGACTTGATGATTGGAACAACTTCCATAAACTACCTTTTGTAACGACGAGTAAAACTAAAGAACGCCCCGAATCCTTGAAGTTGTCAATTATCTTCTGGATTAAGAAAGGATCCTCTGCTGTTCATTTACTTTATCTTCTCTCTTCCTTCCTTCTCCATCACTTCAGAGAGTGCAAGAAACAACAAGTTCTTGACGTTTTATCGTCTGAAAACTTTGTCGTTTGTTGTTCGTTTAACAACCAAAACATTTTTATTTATCTTCATTCAACCTTCTATCTCTCTCTCTCTCTGTCTTCATGAGATCATCGTTCGCTCTCTCTCTATATCTCTTCATAATTGAAGTTTCTTTTTCTTTCTCTACAAGCTATTTGTTGCCTTTTATTTCCTCTCTTTACAGTCTTTTCTTGTATCTCCACAACATACTAAGTTTCATGTCCTCATCATTCTATTCATTTCCAGATTTATCTCTTCCTCTTGCCTTGAAACTTCTTTCTCTCTCTCTCTCTCTCTTTCTTAATAACCAAAGAACTTCTTTCTCTCTCTCTCTTTTCTATTTATCCTTTTCGTCATTTGAAAATCCTGAGATGGCAGATACTTCTTATACGGCGTAACGACTAGTGGCGCCGTCTTCATATATTCAGAATATATTCATCTTCTACCTCTGAAAGTGCTTCGACGGAAGCTAATCCATGTAATCACCGACAATCCCAATCGTATAGATTTATCTGTGAAAAAGCTTTCTCACTAGCCGGTCCGGCCAAACCCGTTTACGCTAAAAAGGAAACGATTAACGTTTCATCTTTTCGGATTTCGAACCTCAAACAGTCAGCTCATTTTCATGCTTTTCCTTCTTTTCCTTTTCATCGTTCAACATACCAACTTTCTTCATGTAATTTTCAACATTATCCAGCATTGGGGTCAGCTTCGGAAGCTTTTAGTCGACCTTGAAGGTTTTCAAGTCAAGATTTTCCTTCAAAAGCTTCTTATCCTTAGAAAATCGCTGGAAAACATGAATGAAGCTGAGATTCAGTTGACTTCATCAGCCTTCCGAATACATCCCCCTTCTCATTTTCTTTTTTTTTGTTAATTTTCACTGTTCATTCTAATTTTGTTCAAAAGCTGATGATAACCATTCATCGTTTCAGATGCGACTTCTTATACTTCTGTTATTTTTAATAAAACAAGCATGTGGACAGTCATATCAGCAGGATTACTCGCCACTCCTAGATGTTTGTTCAATTCATTTCCTTTCACTGACCAAAAAAAACTTTTCTTTCAGCAAAATACTTCACCATCCAATCCGGGCTTGTATCTGCGTTTGATGCCCACAGGTTTGGCTTACATGAGAGAAATTGGCTTAAAAGTTGTCAACGAACAAGTTCTGAAAATAGCTTTGCCAACCATTAAAGAACGAATTGACAATGGAGAGGTTGGTTTGCCATTTTGGATGATTATGTATTCATAAGTGATTGTTTCAAGGTTTCCATCGTGAATGCTTATATCTCCAAGTATTGGGCGCCACAGGAGTACTCTTTAGATCTAGTTGAACCAAATGTTTTCACCTGGAGTATGTCAAAAATGCATATAAGAGCTGCCGGAGAATTTCAAGCTTCCATAAATAGCCCTCTGCTTCTGCCTACTGTTCCTATTACCGGACATTTTGAAGCATTATTAGGACATCTGGCCTTGACCATTTCTGTTCGCCTCGAAAGGTATCTGGTTCTATATGTTTGTAATTTCAAGAATCTATTAAGAAATGCCTTCGGCAATCCACAAGTTCGATCAGCTTCATGTCAATCATCCATTGGATATGTTGACTTGAACGTCCGTAACACAGGAGTGATCACTGATTTCTTCATAAACGCTTTCAAGGGTACTATTAATCATATGTAATCTATCTATTACTTATTTTTCTCAGCTTTCCTCATTGCCCACTTCAAACCTCAGGTCGAACAGAGAATGTGCAACATGATTGAAAACATAATTGATAAGGACATGAATAATCTGTTGAGTACAATGCCTTTGAAGGTGAAGCTTTGATGACTCAAAACTTCAATTAAAATTCTAATTATAGATTCGAATAAATGAAGATAATGTTGATGTGATTGGTACAGCTTTTGGTGTAGATAAAGTAGGTTCAGCTATGTATATTCACTTTACCAATCATCATCTGTTCAGCCAAAGAGTAAATTGGGACAGAAAGGTCTCAAGAACTTCACTCTCATTCATTTTGTGAACAACTTACGTGAACGTGATTTGGTATTGGATTATCAATTGACATCTGACCCATTCGTTCAAGGAGGTGCCGTCGCTATGATGGCCAAGGGTGAAATTTCATGGTATTATCACTTTTTTCTTATCCAAACAAAGCTATTACAATCATAAAATATGTGAGAAGCGAGTAAATTGTATTTTTTTCTTTCAGGAGAGGGTTGGGCGGAACTCCTTTCAATCCACCAAATATCAAAGTCCCAGCTCCACACGGTACTCTTTTATGAGTTTTCAAGAATATTTTATCAGAAAGTTCATTCAGGCGTTCACATGATAGAATTTTATGCTTCTGATTATTTGGCAAATTCCATGCTATATCATGCTTATAAACAACATTTGATGGATGTCGTTGTGGGACCAGAAAGTAGCCCCCAATTAAAGGTTTTTCCTTTCTCTCTCTATTTTCCTTTTGGGCTAATCTTACAATTCTTCTCAAGGACTTATTAACAACCACATGTAATGGAGGCTTTTGTATCGGAGAATTTCTGGGTGATCTGAATGAGAAATTCCCAGATCGTGAAGTTGAAGTTGTCTTTACTGCTCGCAAAGTAATAACATGATAGATCTGATCTCTTACATAACAACATCTTTCAGTCACCACTGATCGTTTTTGTGGAGAATCGTGCAAGATTCCGTCTACATGGCCGAATGAACTTGTTTGTTCGACCAAAAAATAAAAGTCAAGTCAAAGAATTGGTTTGAATGTTCATAAAAAGATTCTTAAATACTTGTAAATGATTTTCAGATTATTCGATCAGATGCCACTATGACAGCTAATGTCTACATGTGGTTGACGGACTCAAGAATCGTTGGAAACGCTACAATTGAGAATTTAGATTTCAAACTGTTAGAATCGAAGGTGATTGGAAAAACAGTCTGGATATGACATCATATAATCTATCTTCCAGTTGGAAGATGTTGATCAAGCTTCTTTCGGTGATCTGGGATTGTTTGGTGCTGAATTCCTGGAGAAGTTGTTGACAGAAATCTTACAGTTAGGCATCAAAATGCCTTCTATGCAAGGAGTTGTATTGAAAAGCCCAAAGTATGAGTACATAGATGATGCTTGATACATCTGTGATTAATTTCAGATTATCGTTCCACGATCGCTATTTGAAAGTTCAGACATACTTCAAGTTGGATGAAAAGTATGCAGGAAGTTTAGTACGAGGAGCAGTCAAGCAGAGTTTGATAAACGCTGGATGATGAGTCTAGTCAACATCCAGAAGCCGACATCACTTCAGAAGCTTTATTCTACTTACCATAGAAGAGTTATTTGTATATACATAATATATATAATAGTTAGCATAATTGGTACAACATCAGCTTTCATTAGCTCATTTCCTTTTCTTTCTCTCTATAATTTTATTTTCATTTTATTAACTCTTCTTCTTCTTCTTTCTTCTTGCCGGTGATAGCCTGAGGGCGAATATGATTTAAGCACACGGGTTTCAATACTTTTCAAAATAGAAATAATAATGAGAATGATGAGTAAGATGAAATGAATTTGTATCCTACTGTTGTCATTTGTTATCTAAAGAATTCTTAAAGAAGCATCCGAATGGTTTAATTGGAATAAGAAGGACGCAATGATTTCAATGATCGCTTTGGCCACATTTAATCATCTGATATTTTACTCGGACAAAGTTCGAAACTAATAATAAAGATTATATGGAAATAAATAGCTGGTGATAGTGTGGTTGTGATTAAAGGAATGAAAAAGCACATGAAAACGAGGATAGATGTGATAGAATGATGGAGACGGAGAGAGATATAGAAAAGGAGTGAGAGAGAAAGAGAAGCAAGAAGATAGTTATGTATGAAACAACTCTATGGAGATAGAAAGAGTGAGAGGGAGAGAGAGAAGGAAGAAAGAAAAAAAACACAACCGTTCGCTAAAATCGCAAAGGATGAAATGAGTTCACGTGGATTATATATACGAGTTTATACGTCATTTACGTGGAATGCAAGGAAATGAATTACTCACATTCAAATAAGGCAGTCATGATTCACAAGTAGTATTGATGATTCAATTCATTCAAAACTACTCACAAGCTTTACAACTTACTATTTTCCATGCTTTGAATAATCAGAGAAGAGGATGAAGTCGCATCCTGATCTATGCATGTGTGTGTGTGTGTGCGCGTGTCTACGTGTGAGTGTGTACGTGAAGGAAACGAATCAAAATAAGAATGAAAGACAGAGATACACGATGAAACATTTGATTTCATTAATTTCAAATAATTTTTAATGTGAAATTCTTCTAAAATTTTATTATTCTAGTGTTTTATCTTATCATCTGGCTTATCACCTATTCCTTCAAATAAGATCATACTCTGGCTTCATTCCAATCGTTTGAACCGTCTGCTCGAATGCCTTGAGCTCCTTAAATGTTTTTTCTCACTCAAATATTTTAAATAAATACATATTATGAATGATAAAGTTACAACTTTTTGATTCATTTAAGCTTCTCATGGATCGACGTCATCATGCTCAATTCCTCTGGGCAAATTCGCATCCATCACTGACCGATACAAGTGAGACATCATGGGAAAGTAGCTTCAGCAGTACAGACACGTAAGTCTTATGATAAATTTAAATTAAAATTACTTTTTATTTCATTCTTCTTGGTATATTCTATCTCTCTCTCAATCTCTATCTCTCTCTTAACCTCTTCTTTCTTTCTCTCTCTATTCCTCTCTTCCTCTCTCTCACTTTCGTTCCTGTTAAAAGGGGTCACTCTGTAAGCAACCGGTTCTCCAATGAACAAGACACGCGCTCATCTTCTTTGATCGTCTTTCGTCTTATTTCTTTCTTCTAAAACGTTCCTTATTTGGTTACAAATCGATTTTTGCATTCAATCCATTGACGATTATTTCAATTCGTTTGCAATCAAATAAATGAAAAAAAAAAGATCTTTTTGTTATCATTTTTTGTGTTTCGAATGATTTTGAGCTGTCGTTGTTAACGTAAACCATATGAAACCTCTTCTACTTGCTTACAGACCATCCATTCATCCATTCATCAGAAACCGTATAATTCATTTTTGCTTTTTTGAGAGCTTTATTGAAAAGTTGAGCTGCTCTATATCTATATGAGACGGTAGCATCTATTCAATCTTCTTCAATTTAATAACTGCGGAATAGCTGAGTTGTGGACTAAGAAAACTATTGTGAATAGCGAAGCAGCTTGTACTTACTCCATCAAAACCCCGTCATTAGCTTCCTTGCAATTGAAGAGTAAACCCCTGTATTCTGGACGTCAGATGAATTGTTTCCATCATACAATTCAAACATCAAAAATATTAGTTGTTCAAGTTATCTAGCTCGTACATTAACTATATTCATATAGTTTACTCCCTTATTATATATATAATATTATATCTCATTCATATTTTATATATAGTAAGCTTCATAGTTAACTATTGCCTCTACTATCTATAAGACACTCATACAGATACACATACATACAGCACACACACATACATACATACACACACACATACATCTCTCATCCAACTTCCAGCCTTTACATAACACTTGTTCAACCTTAAAATAACATTTTTCTGTCTTCATTGTGAGGTGTCTCACAACGAAAAATGTTAAATTTGGTATTATTTATAGCAACCTTATCCACATACAGTGGCTTCTACTTAGTTCAATTTGCATATTTTTTAGTTGAAGAATACGTTTTTGAGCAATTTGGTGTTGTCCCAAATTTCGATGAATAAACTTGTAACTTGAATTCAATTTTCATCTTTCATTATCAAACACACACACACACACATACACACACATTAATGTTTTACATTGTTCTTTCTCGTTTATAAAATAAAACAAAAACTGCTTATTTGCTTTGATGCTCGCTTCTGATGATATTGAGAATCAAACATCTGACTGATCGCACACACAATACTACCTCAAAGAAACATTTTTTTTTCTTCTTCTGTTTTTTTTATTTCAAAAGATACAAAAAAAATGAGAGAGAGTGAGACAACTGTTAAACATGTAATGAGTATTGAGTTATGGAGAGCTGACAGAGTAATAGAATGTGTTAGTTGAAGAGAAATTCACAGACGAAGCTTCAATTTCACGTGAACCTTCAAAGCACTTTTCTATTTCTTACCTCCCTCACTCTTCATCTCCCTCTCACTCTTTCTCTCTCTCTCTCTTTCTGCAACATGTTGCTCGTCCGCAATTCTCCAAGTTCCACTATCAGTCACTCATTTGACTCATTTGCTTCCTGCTCTCATTCTCATCTTCTCTCTTCATCTCATATTCACTCTCATTCTCTTTGAAGCTTTCAGCTTAAGCTTCACGAACAAAAAAAATCATTTTTTTCAATAAAAACTTTGAGCTTACTTAACCAGAGACGACAAGTTGAAGATCATGTGTTGATGAATAGGAATTTTAAGAATGTTGGAAAGTTCCACATCAAGTTTTTCCTCATCCTAGGCTACTCTTCTCTCCCTTCTTTTCATTCCAACTCCACCTTCCTTTGAACCATAATAACAGCTTCTCACTCATAACTAAAAATCATTTACATATAGTTAATTGATAATCCATAGATCACATTATAAGCTTTATCAATCAAAATTCCTTTTTTTCTCTATTGATTCCTCTTCCATACCTTCTTGTCTGATTGTCTGAAACTTCATGGGACACTCCAGACAGTACCTACTGTCTATCTCTCTCTTTCTATCTGTCTCTCTCTCATGTCCAATGCCTTTTGCCTCCTCCATTCGAAAAATTTTCATTTTCGATTGAAGTGTTATCAAAGTGATTGGAATGTGATTTCTAACAATCCGTTTCCCTTTCAACTTGCGTTTTGTTAATTTCAAATTAATGATAACATCATTTCCTTTTGCAATCAAAAAACATATTTTTTTACAAAAGTTCAATTAGTTGAAGAAAAGTTTGAAAAAATCTTTTCACACTTCTCAAGAATGTTGAGAATGTTCAAGTCTTTTGTCCTATTAGAAAGAGAGTGACAGGTAGAGAAAGAGAGAGGCTAAGAGAGAGGGAGGAAGGGTAATATAGAGAAAAAGAGAAGAAAAAGAGAAACAGAGAAAGAGAGAGAGAAAGAGAAGGATGGGCGGTAAATATTCCTTCAACCAACCCCCCCCCCCTTCCTCTTCAAGTATGGAATGCTAGGATTGCCATTAATATCCTTTCTGATTATCATTCCAATATCTCTATCTCTCTTATACTATACGCATAGTTAAGATATCTCCTTGTTTATATCATCATTCAACCATTAATTATATCATTTTTATATTATTCAGTGGTGATTTATATCGAATGGCTGATTCTCCACGAATGCTTTCATCGTCAGCTGCAACTTCCCGTGTTCTGCCTCAATGTGTTCCATCAACTTCATTTGCTACAAGTACAGTAATAGGTAGTTCAATCATGTTGCAACTATTGATTATCATGTCAATCGTTATAGATTTGAATAGACATCTGAATTCATCTTTCTTAGCCGAATATCAGAACCAGTTGTTCCAACAACGGTACGGTCATGTGGTACATAAGCATGCCAACCATGAATCTTTGCTCAAAATGCATAATGCGCCTGTTGTAAGTTTATTTCCTTATTTCCTCTTCTGCATTCTGTTTCCTAACTGAAACTCTTTTATGACCGCTTCTCTCATTTGAACGTTTGTTCTTCTTTGTCTTTGCGTCTTTAACTTCTTATCAGTTTTGTTTTTTGAAGATTGTCGAACCTGAAATCGACGTGGACGTAGTAAGCTTACCCGAAACAGAATCTAATGATTCCTCTTGTGAGGTAAGTGACTTCAGGCTGAAGCCGGATAATTATCTGTTTTTAAGGAGAAATCTACAACTACCGTTATAACCAATTCAAACATGCCATCACAAACATTTCGTCCGACAGTTATCGTCGGCAAATCATCCCCTCAAGGTAAGGCATTTCTCTCATCAGTATGTACATGTTACAACTGACTTACAGTAAGTAAGCTGACCATGACTCGAAGTGTATCAAATGCTGCAGCAGAAGAACCTGTGCATGAGCACTTCCGTCGTTCATTGAGTGGAAAATGGCCAAGAAGATGTAAAACAGAAGATGAGAAGGTAAGTAATAAAAGAAAAAATATTCGACCAAGAGAATTCATCTCTCGCACGTTTCAGAGTCGTTCATCACCATTTCGAAGACATACATCATTCAATACTCATACATCCATCCAAGTTGTTTGTTCAAAGAATATAGATAGTAAGCATATCAACAACATATAGTTAATAATACTTGTTTCATTACAGTTGAAGATCATTTTCGTAAAGCATTAGGTTTTGAAGAATATGAAGCTTGGAAGAAGAAAAGAAATCAATGAATAATCAAATTCGAACAATACATCTACGTAGTGGTCATCTCTCCTCTTTTGTATAAAATATTCTCATGTAAATAGCTAAATGCTTTTATCTCATTCCGGTTCAAACTTTTTTAGTTTTTTGCCCCATCACTCTAGTCTTTATTTGTTTTTCCTTTATTTCGTCGTCGTCATCGTCGTCGTCGTCGTCGTCACCAGATTTTCATATTTATTTCCATGACTTGTAATATTTATTTTCATTGTTCTAATAAACATTTCTATTTGAATATTCTAATTAATCTAGTTAACTATATGAAGATGAGATAAGAAACGAAAATGAAATTTCAACTCTTTTACCTGAAGAATTCAAAGATTTCAATTTCAGATAACCATTCATCACATACCAATGTATAAGACAAGTAAAAGCACAACCGCTCATTGTCACAACCGCTCATCATAATATGAAAATCAAGAATGAATATTGCATAGTTAAAGTGATATCAATCAATAACCATCATTTGGCTACACCATTAAAGTTTTTAAACATAATATCATAGTGTGTTAAGCTTCTTAGCTGAAGTCAATTAAACTTCATGGAAATTCGGGGAATCCCTCCTCACAACAAGTTTTTTCTGTTTCGTTTTCTTCTTCTCATGCTCAAGACATGCAAAAAGTTTTTTTTATTTCATTTCTATTTTGTTTAAAGCGAGGGTTAAAATAAATGAATCGGGCAGGTCTTTGCTTTCATTCCATCAATCTGTATCTTCGAACCCCAGATGTGCTGGCGGTCGACGTCTTCTTCATTCGTTTAACATAGGTAGTCTTATATGCCTTTTATAAACTTTTTCTTTATCTATCTAATACTCTCATATGAAACAGTTATCTCTCGGATGATTGTCCGTCTTTTTTCTTACGATTTTCAGTTTTTTTCTGGTCGTTTTACTCGCAGATACAAACCACATATAGAAGAAGAAGAGGGGGTACAGAGAGATAGAGAGAGGTGGAAGGGGGATGGTTGAGATGAAAATGCAAAGCAACGAAAATGAAGATGGTTTAAGACACAGAAAAAATGCTAAATACTGGCTAAATTGAAGAAAAAGGAACACCCTTGCATGACAAAGTGAGAGAGAGAGAGAGAGAGAGATTGAAAGAGAGAGAAGAATATAAAGAGACACAGATATACATATAGAGAGAGAAATGGTTTAAAAAATGTTTGGAAATAGAATCAGAGAGGGAAGACCTACCAATTGACTAGCCAATCACATCAAAACTTCAGACCACCTTTACCATTTCACGTTCGAAACGTTCTTTATCCAATTTTAATTTTCTGTTTTTTTTTAATATTATTCTAATAAACATGTTCTATCTCTATTTATCACTCGTATTCTCTCTACATATATGTTTCTATCCAACGGATATCAAAAAATGTATGAAAAGCATCATCTGAAGCACATTTTGTGCTTTACGAGAGATGGCGCAGACGATGATGCGGGAAGAAGTACTGGCTAGACGACTGGATCGCAATTGTTCCTTCTTTATACGCATAGGTAGCAACAACCCCCCAGTCATTTCCAACACTAAAAGTCTCATAACTATTCAAAAAAATGTGGAAAAAAATGCTGAACATTTCTATTTCCTTCTTCCTTCCACATTCGTTGTCTCATTGTCACCTCTCAATGTTCCTTCTGAGAGCTGTGAGCATCTCAAATTAGCTGAGGATCTATCGCAACATCCTTCAGCAATTCTGAAACATCAATTTTTTTCTTTTTCTTCCGTGTCTCGATTATAAAGTTTTAAAAAAATATCATTTGTAACTTATTCATTTGCACATATACGGTAATTAAACCGACTCCTCCCCTCCCCTATCTTTGCGGTTATTTCGCCAGCTCTGTATACTTCTTATACAGTTTTTTGTCTTTCAATCTCTCATTGAAAGCCATTTTGTACAAGACGAGAAGAGAGAGAGAAAGAAGAACTTATTTCATTTTTCTCTTTCTTTCTTTTTTTAAATTTTCATTTTTTGTTTTTTTGTTTGTTTGTGAAGTATAATCATCCTCATACGTTCGAACTTTCTTTCTGTTTGTGATTTCTCTCGTTTCACCGTATCCGTGTTAGGTTTTCTTCTTCATTACATATATTTTTGCTTTATTTTCTTTTTTATTGTTTCAGGTAGAAAGACCTACTAAGATTTTATTAAAATTTTTTCCTAATTTTTAATTCTAAAATGAATGGGATGTCGTTCATGCAACATGAATTACCGTATGCCACAACAGCTCCTCACAACTATTATGATGTCAAAGAGGTTTATGATCCAACAGCTACATCTTTTCTTCTCTTGCCATCACCAGCTTCAACTACAACATATCCATTTCAACCTGTAAGTTTTACTACTTCATTATGTTTCTTTTCATCTCTTCATACCAACACACTGTCTCTCTCTTTCCATTTCGATTTATTTCTCTTTCATTCTCTCTAACTTCCTCTCTCTCCATCTTATAAAGTTTCCTGCTCCTTTACCACCTTATACTTCTACTACACTTCATCCTCCTATTATTCATATTCCCTTATAATATATGATACTTAAGGCTCCTGTACCTTATCAACAAGATCCATATCATAATCCGTTACCTATTCAAAGTCCTGTATTTTACTACACCTCGACGGCCGGCCCATCAGCTCGGAACCCCCCAAATCCACCATGTGCACCTGTTGAACAGCATGTCATTCCTTCTCCGGAAGACCACTGGAAGGTAATATTCGAGAACTAAAATCAAACTCTTTTTCGAAGTGTAATCCATATCCATCGTTTGCTTGTTTTTCTTCGTTCATCTTCTTCTTCATTACTTACATCTTCGTGGTTACGTCACAATACCGTAGTCGAAGAATGTGCAGAAGCAGCACCAAAAAAAGAATAGGCCATAACGAATCCGACATGTCGACCTGAAACGATCCCTCCATCATGGGCATCACACATAAACTCTCTCAGCCTCTCTCTTCCCCTCTCTCCCAATGTCATTTCTCAGTAATGAAGAAAATGAAGAAGAAGAAGATGACGAAGGAAAAGAAAAAAGCAGAAGAAAATGTGAATATATCAATTGATAGACGGAGATTGCAATAGAAAGACAAGAGAGGAAGATATTATAGAGAAATAAAGAAGGAACGAGGCTGACTACCTATTAGAGGTCAATGAAAACTCACCGTTGGATCGAAATCTGACGACAATGGCGTTGCAACTGGCATGCCAAATAGGGCTTGATCATGCACAAATCGTTCGATTTTTTGATTTTAAACGTTCGTTTCCCAATTCTTTATTTTGTCATGTTCGTCGACGGATCTGGATGATTACATCAGAATGACTTTGAAAGTGTGTGAAACAGAGCAATCAAAAAAAGAATCTTAACGAGAAGAATGAAGAAGATGAACAACTGATTCGAATAAAGATATTCAGATTGTATACCATTTCGTTTTAGCCATTGGATAGTCCGGAAACCACTGATACTGGATCTCCTCGCAGACGAGGAGCTGTCGGATCGAAGCGTGGACGCCCAACGAAGAACCCCGTCTGGACATTTTTCAGACGAATCGACGATAAAAGTGTTCAATGCAATATGTGTGCTCGAGTAATGATTCACTTTGTTCTTCAATATATAACTCGTGTTCTTCATAGCTCGTCAAATCTGCCTGTGCTACTAACATGAGTAAGCACATTGAGCGCCATCATCAAGACATTGGAAATAATCTTGATGAATCATCTGAAGCGAGTAAATACTCCAACTACGCAAATCATTGGCAGAATGGCAATTTACAAAATTTGAAGTAAGAAGAAACTTTTCTTTTATCAAATTGATGCTCATCTATCTCTCCGTTAGATTGTCAACAAGCTTTGACGGCTACAACAATCAGCAAATGCAGTTCGACCCAGCCTTACCGTGGAATCCGGATCGTCGAGGAAGTCGACGAAATAGGCGAACTAAACATCCGGTAAATATTTTGAAGCATAACTTAATTCATTTTTTGAATAATAAGGTTTGGGAATTGTTCCGACGTACTGCTGATGGTCAAGCCCAATGTCAACTATGTAATGTTTTGGTTCGATCTCCATGTAGCAGCAACTTCATGGGTCACTTAAATAGACATCATATTGAGCATTATCAAGTAAGCTTCAGTATCCTACTGCTTATGCTTTCTTATTATCAACTCTTCAAGGATGTTTATAATCGATGGTTAGAAGGAAGAGTAGAATCGACTGCTGCCCCAGAAACTGCGAACGAAGAAAAAGATTTTGCATAATTGTAAAAATCAACGTTAATCACAACGTATCCTAGCATCCAATTATGAAGTTTGTAAAGAAAATGTGAAAAATCGAAAAAATTCTCTCAAATCCACTACCTCCTCGCATGCATGCGATTGTTCTCGCTCTTGTCCGCCTCTTGCTCAGCTCACAGCACACAACAGCACATAGCACCCCCTATCCTCACCTAGCCTACCTCACTACCTCCCACCCAGATGATGCTGAGCAGCATCAGCAACAGCTTGTTGATCACATGTGGATCAAGATAGTTTTTTGTTTTAAAAAAACTTTTTTGATCATCAAAAAAAAAGGAAAAAAAAGAATAAAAAAATTAATTTTTCTTTTTTCTAATTTATGCTTCCAGCTACCTCACTATGTTTCCTTCTCTTCTCTCTCTCTCCTTCTCTCTCGCCCCTCTCTCTCTCTCTCTCCTTCTCTCTCTCTCTCTTCTCTTTTTTTTTATTGTTTTTATGTAGTCTTTCTATTACAAAATGAATTTTATAATATAATAATAATAATAATATATACATAATAATCACAGTTATATTAATAGATCTTTCTTTTTTCTGTCATTTTCCTTGTTTTGTTTTGATTTTTAGAACAAACAAACAAACAAACAAAACATTGTCACTGAGAGTTATTGACTGATTGAGGGGCGCCCGCGCTTCTTCGTCTTCGTATACATCCATACATCCACGACAGATAGAGAGAGAGATAGGTAGAGAGGGAGGGAGAGAGAGAGAGGTGATAAGAGGCAAAAATGAAATGAAAATCGAAAATGATTAAAGTGAACAATATAGAATTTTACTGAATCAAAATGTGACTATAGAATAGAACATTTAGATGGGAATTTGGGAACATAACAGTGACGTTGAGTTCCGTATACATAGAAAACACCTTTACATGCACCCATTGTGTAATTCACTTTGCATACGGGGATAGCAGTTAATGAGTGCCGTTGCTGAAAGAATAGGTACAAACTTCCTCTAGCATTGAAATATAAATGAAACATACCCTTATCACTCGACATACTCCCATGCACTTCTGTAGATGTTGAGCACAGTACTGCTTGCTTTTCTCATTTATTTCATTAATTGGATACTTTGTTATAGGTAATACCTATAAATGAAATAAATTCATTCATGCCAATAGATGGAGAAATGAACTTACATATGGCATTTCTTCTCCAAACAGTTCTTTTCCTTCTGATTGAGCTAATAACCGAGCCGGCACATCGCACTCTGTATAGTGTTCTGACCTTTCAGTTTTACTTTAAATAAATTATTTATGAAGTTATTAAAATAATGTAACTCACAAGTATACTTTTAAGCGTGTATAGTTGCGAACACTTCCACTACCATTACAAGCATTGCATGGTTTCTTTCCACCACCTTTGCAATGATGGCATTCTTTGACACCTCGTCCATGGCACATATAACATAAATCATGCGTTCCTTAATGAGTACACCATTTATATTCCTCGTGACCATCCACTACATACCTATTCCTGGTGGCGGAACTCCTGTTTTCGACATGAAATGCATTGGGGTGCCAATACCATATGCTGATCCACCAGTTTGTCGAACCATTGCTGTAGATGATGATGCATAGCCTCTCGATAGATCAGCCTGAAAAACAAGCTATCAAATGAAAAAAGTAAAAAAAAATATATTTTTTTCCAGCTCTTAACATCGGAAACAACCGCTCATCTCTCACTGTTTAACATTCGAAATGATATTTGTACGTCAAATGCACGTGACGGGAAATGACGTCATGCGTGTCCGAGTACACGTCATTTCATATTAATTAGTGTATGTATGCATCTATATGGACTACAGGAGGAAGCTTTGAAAGGAAAAGTGTTTTTCCATCACATTGAACGTACATGAGGAAAGGTGGCAACCATTGGATGAGTGTATACAGCTGGATGAGCAACACCAGATTTCATGCCAGTTCCACTGAAAAATGATAAAAAAAATAATATAACAACGTGACAATGACCATCACAACAACTATACGATGAATGAAATGCTTACCGACAGAAGTTGCATTTGTCTGTTCCGTATCCTCGACAGTGAAAGCAATGTACGGTACCTTCGGAATTACATGCAGAGCATGTATTGATAATGCTTGTTCCAGGCATCTCTAATACCCGTACCTAGATAATTCAAAATTATTTCTACTGTACTCAGATACACAGTCACCTGATCAACAAACAAATTTGAAGGTAGAACTTCATAATCCCATGGATTGTTAAATGCAGACATAGATCGTAAAGCATCTGCGTCTAAATAAGCACCGAGCGAAACAGCTTCAGTTGCATCTGACGTCGAACGAGCTTCCGTAAATGATTCAAGCGAATACTAAAATGCATATAAAATATATTTATTCTTTTTCGTTGTTTCACTGCCATAAATGGTTTTGTTTCGTACTCTAACTCACCTGAAGACAACTTTGCATTTCCAGTTGATCAAATTGCATTTTCTTGACAGCAGTTGCTTTCCAACATCGATGTCGTTTTACTTCGCTCATTAATGCTTCACGAACCTTTTTATTGGAGAAAAAAAAGCGAAATAATAAGAAATGAACGGATTATAATGATACCTCATACTCGCCCATTGGAATGATATCATCGAAGTATCGATTGGAAGCTGTTCCACCTGAACATAAAGAAAGTTAGGATGAGGAAGAGATGATAATCAGTTGATTTTTAATATTTTGCTGGCTAATATGAATATTATAAAACAAAAATTACCAAATGTGAGTCCTGCAAGTTGCATATTTCCTAATGACTCAATTTTCCAGCTTAAATCACTGAGTGTAACTTTAAAATTTAAAAATTAAGCGAAGAGAGATGAAGGATGTCGTTGATGCGAACGAACGATTGAGAAAGGCAACGTTAAGGTTATCAATCTCTTAAGACGATGAACTTAGAGTGCACGACCTTCTCTATTCATTCAATCTATTCTACGAATGAAATATATAATCAGAAAGCATTTTTAGGAGGGAAAAGTCAATCAAAATGCTTTTCATCCTTTTGTATGAGATGTTTCAAAAATTTAAATCAAAGTTTATTAAATGAAGAGAGCGACAAGAAACGTAACACACGAGACTATTCAGATGGAATGCCGAAAATAGAAAACTCATCGACATCGGAAGGACGACAAATGCTGAAAAAGAGGGAGGGAAAAAGAAGGCAAAAGCATGGAGGGAGGGAGAAGAGGCGGACGCACGCGCCATGAAAATGAGGGAGGAGCTCTCAACTGCCAGATAACTTTTCGAAAGCCGAAAAAAATTATTTAATATTAGCTTGATCGAAAAGATAATCTCAGCTTAAGCATATATAAATTAGCTTTGTATATATTTATATACATATATGTGGCCATAAATGAAAATCTAAGGAAATTAGATAAATTTTCTTCGTTGGACTTGGCAACGTCTACTCGTATTCTCTCTTTTTCCAATCTCTCTCTTACTAGCTTCAATCTTTCCTCAGTGCTCTATGTTGATGATCATGTAGTGTTTCCAATACAATGTATTTTGCAAATACATTCATCAGAAGCTAATAAGACAAATTTTTTTTGGGAAACAATATAAAGCAGATTTACAGCTTAATAACTTACAGGAGGCCTTCTTATGTTTTTCCGTATCGTCTATAGGCGGAGGAAGAGCACTGAATCCGTCTGCCATAGTTGTCTGAAGTAAATATGAAATTAATTAATTTAGAAATAAAAAAAAAATTGAAAAATGATTGAACGAATGAAGAAGCATATAGTGGACGAACAACAAACTGATAATTCAATGAAGATATTTGAGAAATGAAAACAAAAAAAAAACATTTTTCTTCGTCGTCTTCTCGTCGTGTTGAACGAAGAGGAAGTGGAAACGGGGGGGGGAAGGAGAAGAAGAAAGGAAATGATGAGTTTTATTAGACGAAATGGGAGCAATCAATCAACGAATTTTGAACATTAAATGCTTCAAATTTACATTTTTTTACAGCTCAAAAACAGATAGAAAATGAGACAAAGTTGAAGAGAGAATTTTCCTTATTTGGTAGCTTGTGAAGATTCAAGTCAAAAGATCAGAAAGTGAGATGAAAACCTCTAGAGAATTAGAGCTTTTTGAAATGTTTCTGAAATGAGAAAAGATATTTTACGGATGTTGAAAAAGAGAGACAAAAACAGAGAGAAACAGAAGCGGAAGAAGGAGACGGAAAAGTTTTGAAGGGGAAGAAATAACCGTATTTGGCATTTGCACTGATTGAAATGAAAAGTTCAGAAGGGAAGTGGATTCACGTGAAGGAAAAGAAGATAAACACAAGCTGAATAGGATGAACGTTTGAAGCTAATCGTTGGCCAAAAATGGAAGAAGATTTTTGAGCGGAAAAAAAAATTGAGGGTGGCAGAGGGGGTGTTAGAGGTATGTGTGGGAGGTCTTGAGAAGAAGCATAGAGTGTATCAAATTGATTAACATCAAAGTATTTAATACAAGTACAAAGCATTAAATCATGAAAGAGGAATCTAATTTCAATACATGAAACATGAAAGGAACGATAGAGAGTGCAGAGACATTCGATTGCTTAAATGAATCTGAGGAAGGAGGATAGAAAAATAAAATTTGAAATGAAAAAAAGGACAATGAAAACTGGTGATGGTTAGGTTAGAGGAGTGGAAGAACTAAGAGTATGTGGGGCTAAAAAAAGGGCTTTGTAAACATAAAAATGCGAAAAATAGCATTTGAGAATTCATTTTGAAAGACAAATGCATCTCATCTGATGAACATATGGAGTAGAGAACGAAGAAGAAGAGGAAGAACTCAATGTTCTTTGATGAGACATGGATGTCAATTTTGTTTGAAAATGTTTGAAAGAGAAAAAAAAGAATTATTGAAACTTTCAGGAAACATGCAAGAGAAAAAGCTTTTTGATAAATGAAATATCGGTGTCGTCATTATGTAAATGAGAGCGATCGAAATGGACTGAACTGCATGAGCCCAAAAACGAAATTGGTTTGGAAGCCAGCTTTTCACAAATGAAAATTAAAAAAGAAAAAAGTGCTATCACATTTGTAAATCTGAGACGCAGTAATTATTTGAGCTTGATGAACAAGACAAAAATTATTTTTCAACAACTTAGAGAACGCAAACGAGAAGGAGATCATGCGTTGAAACTTGAGAAGAAAATAATGAAAAGAGCACATTGGAATAGAAGAAAGCAAGTACAATGATATGCCGTAAGTAAAATTTGAGAGAAATGACGAGAGAGAGAGAGAGAAATGCACATTGAAATAAAGACAAGAGATACTAAGAGAGAGAGAGAGTGAAAAACAGAAAGAGAGAGAAAGAGAGAGAAAGAGTTGCTCAATGAAGAAAAGCAGTTTGAGGTCAAAGAGCATATGCTCTGTTGAGAAACAGCAGCAGATTTAAGAAATAGTGAAAGATAGTATCGCTCAACTTAAGTAAATAACGAGAGTGGAGAAGAGAAAAAAAGAAAAATGAGAGGTAATGCTGAGCAACTGACAAGAAATATGAAGAAATTCCTCATTGTTTATGGCAAGTGAGGATGCCATCTGTACCAAACTAAATGATTTTTAAACGAAAAACAATATTTCTTTTAATTAATAAAAGCCCACGAAGAACAAGAAGAAGCAGCAGCAGCAGTAGAAGCGGGCAGACAGACAAGACATTCCATTAATATCAGCTTTTAAGGAAGGAAAAAAGAAAATTTTGAAACTGTTGGACGCAAATCTTCTGGAAGCTTGATGTTCAAAGCTGTGTGTGTGTTGCTAAGATATGCAAATGAATAATGGAAGTAAAGGAATAAATTAAATTATTTTAATCTATTTTTACAAGAAATGACGATGAGCTATTGTGTTCATTGGAATTTCCTTAAATGAATGTGAGATTGCTCAGAAGACTCGGATCATAAGCTTTTCTTATTGTGTACATCTCTCTCCTTACTTTAATGCTTGAACAAATCTTCAAAGGAAGGAAGACAGAAAGATATAAAGATAGAGAGGGATGAAGAGACAGCAGATGACAGAGACAGACTGAGAAATTAAAGAAAAGAAAAATCAATCGAAATTGTGGAAAAGCAACCGTTCCATTCTTGAGCTTTTAGACGAAATGAAAAAATGTTGACGTGACCACGCGTAAAGTTCACGTGAGCATAATATGCAAATGAGCTTGTTATTCTAAAAAGAGAATGCAAATTAATCTGAGGTACATTCTTGTAATACCTCCTAATAAGAGAATTAAGTGAAATGATGAGCTTAGTCTCAACTAGCTCATAGTTCAGAAGCTATGCATGGCGCTAGAGTTAGATATAACGATGTGATCATCTAATAAATAAATGAAAAAAAATGGAGAAAAGCGGGTTGGAAGGAGTGAAGGTTTGAAACCATTTAGCGAGGCAATTGGCAACAATGGCCGAAAGTACTGAAAAATAATTGAAAAAAGGAAAAGCTAACACAAAAGCGATGAATGTATTAAGCAACTATGAAATGCAAAAGATTCCAATGGCAGAATTGAATGAAACTGCCACAACGCTTGTCTAATGGAAATGTTGTTTGTTAAGGATAAAATGATAATAACACGGCTTTCTTGTCGGAAGTTGGCCGGACAAATAAGGAGTCGAAAATTATTTTGTTCAATTTGATTTGGAAATTAAGCGTGTTTTTCTATTCACTACAGATGACTTGAGAGAGACTACAGTTGAATAGATAATGGCGGTGGTGGTAGTGAAGGAGAAAATATGAAATTATGATTTTCCGCGAGGCCAAAAAAAAAAGAAGAATTATATGTGATAATTCGAAAATGGCCTGAACACACACTAGCACAATGGCTTTGAGGAAGAGCCAGTGAGAAAAGAAGAGGAAGAGAACAGAGGCCAAAAATGGAAGAAAAACTGATGGAAAAAACAAGAAAAAAAAATGCTAAAAACCCATGAAATCCTAATGAAACAGTATTTTCACAGCCACTGAGTGTGAGACGGATGAGAGGAAGAGAGTGAGAGTAAGAAGCTGAATAAATTGGCAAGAAAAAAAAATTTTATTAAAAAACTATAGAGTTGTATGACGTCATCATACAATGTATGTGATCAGAAATGTAAGTTGAATTGGGTACTAAGGAGAATTTAGACGTCGTGAGAGAATAAAAATCATAAAAAATGAATAAAATATTATAAGAACGTAGTTTGTTGGAAAGCCTGGAAGGAAGAGGAAGACGTGGAGGAAAGAAAAAAGAGAAAATGTGAAGGAAGGTGAGAGGAAGTTTATGAATGGTTCAAGGTACAATCACAAAGCAAAGATGGCTTTGTCATGGAGAACCATCCAAAAAAAACCTGGCAAGGCTTGTGAAAATACAAATACAAAGGAAGTAGCAGAAATCTGCATAAATGGTGGTGCCTGTGCAGTTTTCTTCAACTTCTCATTGTTTTCCATTTCTTTGCTGACTTCATTTTACATGTTTCAGGTGAAAAAGACAAATAAAGGAATACACTCGCTGTTTGAAGCTTATAAATGTCTAAAGCCTTACCCAGATCAAGAAAACTATACCATCAGTTGCGAGCTGTCAACTCGACTCATTTTTACTTTTCTAGGCTTCTTCTAACAATTTACATGACAAGCATTCTCTTTCAGAACCAACTTCCATACACATACACACACACACAACGATATAAAGAGGGAGAAGGGAGTCAAAAAGAAGGGAGAAGAGAGAAAAGGAGCAACGGAGAGCCAAGGATGAGGATTGAGCGGGTGGAAGGGTTTGGGGGGTCCAACAACTATGAGACTTGCTCGTTGCTACTTGGACGACAACCAAACACTGAATACAATGACTGATTCCAATTTCAAGTAGAGCAACAGATTGATAGCTAGCAGAAAAAAAACTTTAGTTCTGGAAAAATGCTTTCTTCTCACAACAACACACAAGCAAATAACTTTATCCATGGAGTCTTACACGGATTTAAATTGAATTTGAAGAATTTTGCAGAAAAATTTCATGAAATGTCCTAGAAAACACCTAACAGCAGAACTCATCCAATAAAGCTTATTAAGAACGACCTTCGGAAACAAACGTTACACATCTGCTGGGAGGAGAAAAGTAGAAAGCAACACACAATTTCTACGTTAGAAAGACTTCTTATAACACAAGAACTTATTATCATAAATCAAAAATGCTTTACTAGTTATGCTTTAGTATAATGCTGCTGCCAATAACATCCTTCTTTGAAAGCATGCGCTCCAATACACCACGCCCAGCTTAGTCGATATTCTGCTCTTGCTGCGCATTTTTCGTGTAAACACAGTGCGAACACTTCTCAAATACGGCTGGGTTTTTCTTAGCGGGGGTTTGTACACTTCCACCTGCCCCACATCATATTAGCTTATGAATAGAACACTTTTTATAGAAATGAACAATTATCTGAATACAAGCTAGTTATCAATACATACTCGTGGTCTTATTCATATTCCACCCTCCGTCACCTTTCAAGTAGTCAAATGTTATTTTCATGAGAATTTTAAAACATATTTGTTGAGAACGAAGGTTTTAAGATCGAGACAGCTAACCTTCGTAGAGTTTTCAGGAAAAAAAATTTTCTTTTTCCACATCATATACACAGCTATAGCAGTTGAACAATCTATCCCGCCAACTCCCCAAACACAAGAGTCTAGGGACATCTACCCTTCCAA